CAGGGCCCGGCCCGACGCCTCCCGTGTAGCCCGCTGCAGCCCTGCACCGCTGGCTCTGGCAGCCGCAGCTCAGAACACCAGCTTGCCAGCCACTTTTGTTCCCAAATGACGGCAGCACCCTGCAAAGCACCTGAAAGCGCTGCTGGATCCAACACGGAGGATGCTGATTCAGCAAAGCCTGTCGCACAGGATCGGAGCGTGCCTGCTGCCTGCATGGTGGTGCCAGGCTGGAGCTGCACCAGAGCCCCCTCCCATTTCCACCTCCAGCAGGGCCTGGGAGACCGCAGAGCTGTCCTGGCAGGGCATGTGGCTGTGGCAACTTTGCCCATACCTGCACACCAGTCCTCTCATAGGGAAGCCACCACCTTCCTGTCACAAAAAGCTATTCTGGTTGCGGTTGTGGTTGTGGACGAAACACCCCCAGAGGAAGTGGTAGCCTATTCAACAAGCTCTAGAAAGGAAGTTTTACTTCCACTTGCAAGCTCAGGGCAAGCAAGCAAAGCAGCTCATGTATAGTAGGAGGAGGGGTCTGTCCCACACACTGACGTGACTTTGCTCTCCCACTGACACTGAGCCACCTGATCCCAGCCTCACACAAGGGAATCGCTTCTCCTTCCCCAGGAGGGAAGTGAGCTCAGCACTGCTGATAGAGGTATGGCCACTCTTATCTGAGGAGCACTCGCCGCATCAGCCCTCCGAGCTGCAGGCTGTCACAGCACCTCCCTTTAGTGCCCCAGGGACAAAAACTGCACAAGACACCCAGGTAACCACTCTCTGATCTTGCTGTGCTTGCCCAGACTCTGCCTGAAGCTACCTTGCCCTCACAAAGAGCAGAGCGTAACATGGTGAGCCCTGCTCTCCCCACAGCCACAGGCTGGGCAGCCAGGATCCCTCACTGCCAGAGGACAAGCCAGTCTGGACAGGGTGGTGAACAGCATCTGACTGAAGAATCAGCACATGCCTGCAGAACTACAGCAGTCCTGCAGCCAGCCAGCATGATGTGCAGTTACATCTGAATTCCCAGCCCCAAGGGTTCCTGTGTGCAGCACAGTCAAAGGAGCCAACTTTTTGCACAGGGCAAAACTGAGGTGGGAGACCCCATCCAACAGAAAACCACCTTACCTGCAGGGGAGTGTGGCCACAATGGGTCAGCAGTAGCAGCATAAGCAGCCTGTGCAACAAAGCAGAGGCTATGCCTGGCTGTACAAGGGACCATAACCTGGGCAAACATTAGAGCTCTTCTAATTAGCCACAACTTTGCAGCCTGGAATATCTTGAGGAGGAAGAGAGCGAGGCCTTTCCCAAGCCAGCCTGGGCACCCCACATGCCCACTGTCAGTGATGTGCAGCTGCAGTGGTTTGAGCTGGGTTTATTTACTGTTGGCACTGCCAGCTTCCCCCAGGAAATCACAATGGCATTCATGGATCTGAAACTCACTGATCAATGCACAACATGAGACTTGGTGGTGCCACTGCTGCTGCTGTCAGGACTTGTACCTCTCAGCTTGCAGCAGGTCCACAAAACAGCACCCACAACTGATGGACAAAGGCTGCCGGTGTCTCGGCTGCTGGCTGAAGGATGGTGAGTGGCAGCCAGGGAGGCACCCAATGGTCCAAAGAGAGCCACCCCAGCAGGAAAGGTTCCCGATCCACATCTTGCTTGCAGCAACCCCTTTTCCCCATTGAACCCCACTGTCCCTGTAGCAGCATTTCAGTGGCTCTGTTGAGAACAAGCAGCCATTCTCACGGGAAGCAGGCCAGAGCCCAGACACAGCCCCGCAGCTTGTACGTAGTCCTTCACCTTCTAGACACCATCAGCTTGTGATTCTGCAAACACAGGCCCTGCCAGCGTGGCCTAGCACAACTCTGCAACCCCAGCTCAGAGCTGAGAGAAGCCTGGATCAGGGTAACACATTGCACAAGCCCCCCCAGTTACTGCCTTGCATGAGCTGCCCCCACCACGTGCTTCCCACCAGAAGCCCACTGCAGAGACTCTCCTCGATGCCAGCTCCAGCCTCAGGAGCAGGAGACATTCAGACCAGGCAGGTTTTGCACTGGATGGGCCCTCGCATGCCAGAGTGCAAACCCACCCTACAGTCTCTGGGTCTGTCATGTGGTGGGTGAGCGGTGGGTCAGGATGCGCCTGTGCCTCCTTTGGGTCAGAACTGCCACCTGCACCACCTCCAGATGCAGGAGTCTGCCCTCACAGAAGGGACTCACTCTGCTCGGCAGATGAACCAGATCTCGTTGCGGCGCTGAGGGATGCTGGGATTTTCATAAGCAGCCACGATATAGGTTTCCTGGAGCACAGTGTCTGTGGACCCCAAGAGCTCCCAGAAGAGACTGATCTCTCGCAGAATTGTCTCCTCGGTGGTCATCCCATAGAAAACCCTTCAGTAAAGGGAGCAACGTAAGTAGGGGAGCCATCCCCCCTTCCCACAGCCAGAGCTCCCATCCCTCTGCCTAAAGAACTACAGCAGGTGCACAGGGAGCTCATACACCTCTGCCAAGCTGCCAAAACACCTCTGGTGCTGGGCTCACCTGGTTATAACCCGGAGCGGTGCTCTCTCGGTGATGTGGATTTCGGGGTCCGTGGGAACAGGGGGGTTTTGCTGGTACTCTCCTGGTAGATAATATGCAGTTAGGACCTCAGGCTCCAGTTCCGTCCCCTCCTTGGTCAGGCGGATTTCGTTGAGCACTGGGACCGTCATGCCCAGGTAGCAGCCTGGAGGGAGGAGGGAAGGCAGCGGGAACAGTGAGGGCTGGGGCGGTGGCGGCAGCCCTCCTCCCCGCTCCAGTGGCAGGGTCGACCCTCTGGGCAGCCTGCCAGCCCCCTCCAGCTCCTGCCTGCACACACCTACAGAGTTCTCCTTGCAGATGTAGCGCATGAGCTTCATGAAGCTCATGGAGATGCTCTGCTCATACATGGGCTCCCCCTTGGTGACACACGCCCACTTCCCAGCCGGGTACTGCCGCTCCTCGTAGGCCGCGTCCTCGCACTGCAACAGGCCACAGACAGGGCGAGTCAGAGGTGAGCACGCCGGCAACACCGCCACACTTCGGTGGCAAAACCGGCTCTGACGGGCAGGAAACAGAGACGGGACCCTGCCAAAACAAACCCCCCCGCTAGCCACTGATTGCCGGGAGAGCACAGAGAAGGTGAGGGCACCTGGCATCACGCACACCTCAGACAAGGACATGTAATGGCATCGGGCAGAAGTCAGTGAAAGGAAAAGCACAGACAAGGGCAGGGTGCAGGGAGGATTGGAGGAAAGAAACCAGCACATCCTCAGCAAGGGGCACAGGACTTTCAGCTCCTCTCCACTCACAAGGATGTGCCTGATTCCAGGCACTCAAAGGCCTACAGTAAGGTCAACGCTGTTCTCAGGTGAGGGGCTTTTTCTCTGGTGCACTGCGTGCATAGAGGATAACAAGTAAAAAGTCTCCTCCCAGGAGAAGAGCCTAGCACGCCCAAGATCTGTGAAGGCTGGAACAGAACTCCTCTCAGATCTTCCTCTCATACCAAGAAGTGACAGGAGGAAGAGACACAAACCTAGCTCGTGCAGAGGGAACAGCTTTGTGGGAAGGGTCAGAATCTCCATTTCCAGCATAGACAGCCAGTCTTCTGGACAAACACAGCACAGAAGAGAGGCAGTGGGAATGGGGAATTTGCATCAGGATCTGCTTGTAGTTTGGCTCGTGGCATGGTTCTAACCACAGGTACTGCATAAAGAGGGGCTGCAAAGTTGTAGCGAGCATCTATCTTCCTGCTCTCAGCTTGTTCTTCAGACAGATTAAAGTGGTCCTGAAAATGACCTTGTTTCACAAGGCTCAGGGCACCTGCCCAAGCCCCTGTGCTCCATAGCTGCGCTAGCAGCAAGTCAGCCAGGAAGTTGTGACCAGCCTCAACACCGAGTGCAGCCTCCCTGTGCCTCCACCCAAATTGGGTCTCAGCTCGGAAAGCCAAACCAAAAGCAGAAGGAGGGCTGCTCGTGTGCATCAGTGAGGTGTCGAGAACAAGTGTCCCAATAAACTGCAGGCCAGCCAGCACTCACCCTCTAGATGGGGCCACACCTGCTTCTGTCCCACCAAGCAAAGCAGAGCAAGAGCATTTTCCGAGTAAGGAGACTGCCAGTGCCTCTAGACTATCTGCAACTTTCACGTGCCACACCATCTGCAAATTAACCTATCAACCCAGCAAGGCACAGCATCTGGTCCTTCTACAGACTGATACCTGCATTAAGCACCACTCTAGAAGATGAGACTTGAGGAAAAAGAGTGAAGACACTTCACAGAGTCCCAGTGGCAACACGTCTGTCCTGGTTTGAGCTAGAACACAACAAATTATGTTCAGTGATTCTACTTTTCAGCTAAGGCTCTTGCAACAACCTGCACTTTCTGAAGTCAATGGCATATTTTCTCAGACAGTGTCTGCTTCTAGCAGTGATAGCGCTTCATGCTTAGAGTTACCACCAAGGATTGGTGCGCAGAAAGATTCTTGCTTATACTTGTTTCTAGGGAGATGAAGGCTAAATTTTGTGCACCATATTATGGGGTGCAGTAAGAGGTCACAGCTGCAGGGAGGAGCAAACAGGACAGGTGATGCCAAACTGACCAGTGGGGTATTCCATCCTATATACATCATACTCAGTATAAAGCTGAGGGATCACAAGAGTCAAGGTCTCTTCTTCAACGGCTGTGTCTGAGGAGGACTCTGACCATTCTGCTTTGATCCCAGAATCCAGCTCCTGAATCTGCTTCCTATCTACTGCTGACTCTAGACTGGGACCCTAGTGCCTGCTCCACAGCATCAGCAGGGATGGTGATGGAATTGCCATCAGAGGCTGGGTGTGGGGTGTGTGTGTGAGGTTCAGTGTTATACATTTTTGTGTATATTTCACTTTATTATTTTCACTAAAGTTGTTTAGGGTTGGTTTTTTTTTTCCAATTCATAAGTCTTTCTCCCTTATTCCCCTTTCTTCATAAGGGAGAGGGATTAATAGAGAGCATTTGTCACTTGTCTGGTGAGCAGCCCAGCTCTAAGCCTTGGCAAGGTCCCTACAATGTGAGCTGGGGAATTTGAGTACTGCCAGAGCAAGGCTCTGTAAGTGGTGTAAAAATTTGCTTGCCTCCACAAGAATGAGGGCTTATAGCACTGACAGCTCAGAAGGAGCAATCTAGTGACCTGCCCAAGCCCAGAAATGTCTTCTTAATGGCACCAGCTCCAGCATCCCCTCAGCACTAATGCCAGCAAGTGGCTCCTATGTCCTCATCCAGCCCCAGAGTCAAACTGCAAGAATCCTCCTCAGGCACAGAGAGGATGCCAACAGCAACAAAAGATGTTCAGGCCCCACAAAGGCTTGGGACACCACTCCTGCCTGGGACCAGCACAGGTAGAGAAGACCCCAGACTAAGTCCCTGCCTAGAACCTAGGAGAACAGGGGAAGAGGGAGTGTGGTGAAGTCCCAGTTCAGAGCTGTACAGTCCATGTGCTCAGATGTGTTTTACAGGCAGGAGTGCTGGACCTCGGCCCAGAAGAAATTAAGTTCTCTTCATATAGAGGACAACTGACAGATGTCTTCTTAGTAGCAAGCCCAAGCAAGCCTGCAGAGACACAGGAACCAGTCTGACAAGCGCTTCCTCACTTCCATTTCTAAAGCACCCTTTTGTGCAAGAGATGAGAGGAGGCGTGCAGCTTTGCCAGCAAGAACAGGAATCTGCGGGCAGAAGCTGCTGTGTTTGGATTAGCATCTGTGACCAACAACACCGTGTCCTCACGCCTGACAGCCAGGGTCGGAGGCCCTGTGTTCCCACAGAAGCATCCTTACCTTGTGCCAGCCAAGATCTGCCGCCCAACCGGTAGTCACATAACTAGCACAAACAGCAACACAGCAGGACTTCGAGCTACACAGCCAGGTGTTTTGAGCACGGCAGGGACAAGACTGAACAGAAAATACGCTCTCTTGGTTGTCCCCACCCCAGCAGAGGGTAGGTTGGTAAAGGGGACAGCCGGAAGCCAGGAGACCAGAGAAATCAGCAGGACTAGTCCAGTCTCAGAGCAGAGGCTGTGGGGCTGAGCGTTGCCATCGCTGGGCACTAGAGCGGCCGCAGGCAGGCAGCACGCCGCGCCCGTCCAACGCTGCCCTCCCGGCTGCGGCTGCCCGGCTCAGGG